AGACAGATAGATAGACAGAGATAGACAGACAGACAGAGATAGACAGACAAGACAGATAGACAGAGACAGACAGATAGATAGACAGAGAGAGAGAGACAGACAGGCAGACAGATACAGACAGATAGATAGACAGAGATAGACAGACAGAGATAGACAGACAAGACAGATAGACAGAGACAGACAGACAGACAGATAGAGACAGACAGACAGAGACAGATAGAGACAGACAGACAGGTAGACAGAGACAGACAGGTAGACAGAGACAGACAGATAGATAGACAGACAAGACAGATAGACAGAGACAGACAGATAGACAGACAGAGAGAGAGAGACAGACAGGTAGACAGAGACAGACAGATAGATAGACAGAGACAGACAGACAAGACAGATAGAGACAGACAGAGACGGATAGACAGAGACAGACAGATAGACAGAGACAGACAGACAGATAGACAGACAGATAGACAGAGACAGACAGATAGACAGAGACAGACAGATAGACAGAGAGAAAGAGACAGACAGGTAGACAGAGACAGACAGATAGATAGACAGAGATAGACAGACAGACAGAGATAGACAGACAAGACAGATAGACAGAGACAGACAGATAGATAGACAGAGAGAGAGAGACAGACAGGTAGACGGAGAAAGACAGATAGATAGACAGAGATAGACAGACAGAGACAGACAGATAGACAGACAAGACAGATAGAGACAGACAAGACCGACAGAGACGGATAGACAGACAGAGACAGACAGGTAGACAGAGACAGATAGATAGATCTGATGATTTTATATCGCGATCGATCTTGAAGATGTCTACGATCTACTTTTCAAGCGAATCGTAGAGATTGTGATGATTTTGCATTAAAAAAGATTGTGATATTAATTTTTATTTATTATTTATTACTTGTATTTATTATTATTATTGCTGTTATTATTGACATTTTATTTATAGCAAATAAGATGTTCTGGATAAATTTTACTGAATATATATACAGTGGGTACGGAAAGTATTCAGACCCCCTTAAATTTTTCACTCTTTTTCATATTGCAGCCATTTGCTAAAATCATATTTTTTTTTTTTACAGAATTTATTAAATTCACCCAGTATTGGTAAATTTCAATATTCCAAGTTCACTGTTAATGTCTTTCTCAAACTCGTCATTAAAACTTGGAATAAAATTGTATTTTATTAAAGCTTCAAGCTGTGAGATCAATTTAAAACCAAATCAGTCAAAATGGTTGGGGTGCATTTTCTTAGCGGTTTGCAAGAGAATGAATGTAGTCATTGTTAACATTATTTAATGGACCTGACCTAACATTATCTAACAATGAACAGTTGTATTTTTATTAACTAAAATTAATAAAGATGATTAAATGCTGTAACAAATGCATGGCTCATTGTAAAGTGTTATGGCAATGGTAAGCATTGACAGTGAAACAAGAAACTATTTTTTATGTTTCAGAGTAGAATCTCTTAATTTGTCATTTAGATTTTTACAGTAATTGTGATGATGTAAACAAAACAACAATTGTCAGCTAACCTAATAATCTCAAAATAACTAAATACGGACCAGTTAATCGGGCCAGCCAATATATTGATGTGTCACTCAAATCAGTGCACCTGTCTGTAAAATACATCGTTTTATAGACATTCAAACTTATTTAAAAATCCTGACTGGGTGTCAAATGTCTGCTACCTGCAGCCAGAACTTGCTGTTTTCTCTCTCTGAGACCAAGTCTGCAGTGTTGCTGGGAGTTTCGCTGTGCAAATCACAAATGGGAGGCACGCTGGATTCCAGAGGAGGAAGAGATTAATAAACCTTAACCTGTTTCCTAGCAACCCCACTCTAAACTCTCCAGAAGGCAAACGCACTGGAGCTGCGGCTCTCTGTAGTCCGCTTCAGTTTGTTAGCATGATTGAGCTTTAGAAATGGTCTGAAGTCTGCGCGCTCTCCTGAACTCAGATGTCTTGCTAAATGGGTGCACAACACAAATATGAATTGATGTGAAGTCTGTGCTGCACAGTGCTCAGGATGCAGCAAAAAATTTAGCTGTTTGTTAATCCACATAGTTGAGAGACACTGCATTAGTATTTGAATGATTCGATCTAACAGAGCCAGAAACACACTGAATCCCTGAAATGAATCAAAACTAACTCTAGACAGAATTTGAGGTCCTTGAGCCTGTCATCCATCATCCACCGATGGCAGTGTTGTTGTTTTGATTGTTTGTTAATGGTTTTCTGGATTTTTCTCTCTCACAGATGTGCCCAACTCAGACAGCGAGAGCTTTAACCCGTCTCTGTGGGAGGAGCAGCGCAAGCAGCGGTATGCTTGACGTTGTGTGTATGGTTTTACAAATGTTCCATAGGTAATATAAATATATAATGTATAGACTTGTGTTAGTAAACATAAGTAGAGGTAGAGAAAAAATTGGTAACACTACAGTAAGGTTTAATTTGTTAATATTAACTGCATTTTTTAATGAACATGGCCAAACTCCCACCTGACAACATGGTGTCGTATGAGGACCTGGAAAGGACCAAAAGTCCCTCAGCCAAGGAGTCCATGTCAAGCAACAACAATGCCATGGTGTCACTCGAGAACCTTGAGAATGGGAATCGGATTCAGAAAACCCAGTCTGGGGAGAATTTTAATGGCCGAACAGCTCAAGTTCCCTTGCGGTATGAGTCTACGAGGACCGTCTCGACAGGTGTAACAGCCTTAAGCGACATGAGTCTTTCTCATAGTACAGAGGAGCTGTCGCCAGAGAAGAAATATCCACCAGCTCCAGTGGTAAAATCTCAGAGCATTGCCAACATGGATGGTGGAGGGATGAAGCTGTACTCCATCGAGGGAGAAAGCCCCCCCTATGAAGTGGCATGTGCAGCCAGAACGTCTGTAAGTGGTGCTCAGGGCCAGAGCATTGTCCGCTCCAAATCCGCCTCCTTGCTCAACGACCAGCCATTGCAGATCTACCCTGGTTCCTCTGCATCATCCTCTGACCTGTTGTCCAACTCCAAACCTCCAATTAGCAGCGCCCGCTACCCCACTGGCCCCCCACCGCAGTACAACATCCAGTACGCCAGTAGCACTGTGCCCAAAGACAACTTGTGGAGCCAACGTACCCCCGTACCTCCTGAGCAGCCCTACCTGCCACCACAGCACTCCCTTGCCAACACCAACTACTCCAACCGCAACAACGCCCCCCCATATCCCCAGCCCCAACAACGTGGCCCGCCCAAGACACCGGACATGTGGGCCAAGGAAAGGATGCTGCCACCTGTTGGCCAGCGTGGCACCTTGCAGAGACAAGGTAGTGGATCCTCTGGCAGCCCCATGTGCATGCCGGACCAGCGTCGCATGCCAGGAATGGAAGGAGAGTACATGACCTATCGGGACATTCATGCAGCAGGCCGTGGACCTCTGCAGATGAGCCAGGCCCTCCACAGACCCTTGTCGGCCCGCACCTATAGCATGGACGGACCCAACGCTCCCCGGCCACAGAGTGCCCGGCCCCCACCTCACGAGCTTCCAGAGAGGACCATGTCCGTCAGCGACTTCAACTACCAGCAGGGCAGCCCCAGCAAGAGACCCAGCATGAGGGTGAAGTCAGAGCACTCGTTGCTGGATGGGCCAGTCAGCGGAGGCGGCAGGGTTCCAGCAGACTGGAGGGATCAGGTCATGAGACACATCGAAGCCAAGAAGATGGAGAAGGTATGGCCATTTTTACAAATCGTGAATGCTAAGACAAGCATAGCTGTTGCTCATACATGGAGTTATGGATTTGTTCAGATCCATAATTCTGAATCATAAATTTTGTCCTGTACTGTCTGCACCAGACATGAATGATACTTCCAAGTAGGTGGATTGTTGAGGAAAGAGTTTTGTAATCTTTTGGGCATGCAAATTCTGTCAGGTGCAGCGGTGGTCAACTCCGGTCCTGTAGGGCCACTATCCTGTAGAGTTTAGCTTCATCCCTAATCAAACACACCCAACATTTATTTTGGTACCTATTCTATATGTAGTCTTCAAACAAAAATAGTCATTATTTATTCTCTCTTTACACCAAATCAATTAAGCTTATGAGAAATTTGAATCAAGGATTGAATTTGGAAAAACTTGAATAAATTATGACAATTTTCATTTTTGGGTGAACTATCCCTTTAACAGTAGTGAAAAGGGAGCAATTTATAAAACTATATATAGTTGTTCATATATAATATATATTATTTATAATTTTTTGAAAAAGAAGCAGAATAAGACAAATACGAAAGAGATACAAATTAAACTCATTTTTCAGATACAGTAGGTTTACTTAACATATTTATTTAACATCTTTTGTTGGTTAACATTAATGACACGAATAGGTACTTAATTAGGAATGCTTTTCCTTTAAGACGGAAGGTATGCATGTAATACTGACACACTTTCAGTTTTCACCTACCTGTTTACATTCACTTAATCCATAACCGACTGTATTTACGTGAGATACTCTACACGATAGACATTT